ACACACACTCACACATACTGAATGATGCTACAATTGAAAGTGTTGAAAGCAAGTGATTGTTGGCTGATAATAAAGTATGATTAAGTGGTGAAATATTTTAACATCAGGAGGGAATGTTAAGGAATTTTTATTGTTTTATTTGATTATGCTTCAAAAGTTATGTTACACATATTTCACCAGACACAGTTTTCTGTTGAAACAGGAAGCTGTCCCTGCGACACTGACAAGAGATCAGTCCAGAAATACATATCCGCAGAAGTTGACTTGCATTATATTATTCTTAGAAATTGACTTGCAACACACATACTTTGTGACACACACACATACAGCTTACACACACAGCTTTCACACAGACAGCATCAGGACCTGCGTAACAGGAAATGTGATTATATTTGCATATTGACGATGTAACCTATAAAAATAAACGAATACTGCAGTTCGGGGTGATTGCTCTCTGAGTAGTTCACCCGTGCAGCACGTTAACTATCTCAAGTGTCTCATTGTTGTTTATTCACCTGACTGTTTGTTAACTGTAAATCTCTGACAGTCTTAAAGGGTTAAAGGATTGATGATTATGGTTTTTACTGAGTGCTTCATTTTGTTCTTAATAAATTACACAATGTATATAAGTAAAGACTGTCAACTTTAGTAATATTTCATTCATCAACATTCATTTGTTCATTCAAGGGTTCTCTTAATTTTCTGAGTAGTTTAGTTGTATTCAAGATAAACATGAAGACTTTTAAGATGATTTAAGAAGATTTTAAGTGAAAATGCTCAGTGTGTACAATAAAAAAATACTCACTGAAACTAAGGAGCTTGGAAAGAAAAGCGGCTTCTCGGATGAGAGATGAAACGTCTTCAAGCAACTTAATAAAGTCCAGACACCTTTCTTTCCAAGCTCCTTAAACTACGACGACCTGGATGACTGAGAACCTTCACAGACATACCCACTAAATTACACCTCTTCCAAATCTCTATTTGTTGGCAGAAACTTCTGAAGCCTTTCCCATTTCTATTATACTGTAAAGCTACTTTTCTAACCTGTGAGGAAAAATGTTTATGACTAAGTGCCACGACCCATTATAGCTTTTTTCGTGTTCAGTTCTGGTCTCAACAGGATTATGTAACATTTAGGTCCAAACAGTGTGATCAAGAGTCCAAAACTTGAGGCCAGGATAGCAAATACCTCCACTGCATCTGCATAATTTCCTGGTGAGCTGATATAGACAGGAACAAAGGCCACCCACACAGCACAGAAGATCAGCATGCTGAATGTGATGAGCTTGGCCTCATTAAAACTATCAGGGAGATTCCTTACCAGGAATGCAATTAAAAAACTGAGGAAAGCCAGTATACCAATATAACCCAATAACACTGCAAAACCCACAGTGGACCCAAATGCACACTCATAAACAATCTTATCATTTTGGTATTGGGTGTTTTTATGTGGAGTTGGAGAGGAAGAAACAAGCCAGGTAGTGCAGATGGCTGCCTGAATAGATGTAAGAAACAGAACTGTTCCTCTCTGCTGCATAGCACCAAACCACTTCAGACTGGCTCCCCCTCCTGGCTTGGAGGCTTTGAACACAGCCAGAACAACCATGGTTTTTACCAGGATGCATGAGACACACAGCACAAAGCTGATCCCAAATGCTGCATGCCTGAGTTGGCATGTCCACAGTCTGGGTCGTCCAATGAACAGCAGTGAACAAAGAAAGCACAACTTGAGTGACAGCAGTACCTGGAAACTAAGTTCTGAATTATTGGCACGTATTATAGGTGTTCTGTGATGGTAGATAAAGATCCCTAGAACAACAGCACATATACATGTGCCCAGCAGTGAGGTAGCTGTCAGACAAATACCCAGAGGCTCATGGTAGGACAGAAACTCTGTCTTCTTGGGAACGCAGTGGTCACGCTGGGGGTTTGACCAAAAATCCTCTGGACAACTGGTGCACTCCAACGAGTCTGGCAAAAGGAGAAAGATCAAGAAAGCGGAAGATGGTGAAATGCATACTATTTTTAATATGAATGAAAATAAATATATCGTGCTGAAAACAAAACAAAACACCTTACTGGTCTCATTAGTGACTTTTCCCTCAGAACAAGGGATGCAGTCGAAACAGCATTTGGGTTCCCCCTTCTTTCTCACCATGTGGGTACCAGAAAGACAGCTTTCACTGCATACTGATCGAGGTGGCTATTGGATGAAATCAAATATTACATATAAATATACTGTACAACTGAGAAAATATAAAAATCAGAAAAACACATAACCTTTTTTGAAATAAAGTTCCAGAAAATCTTGTCTTCATCAAGTATGAGTTCTTCCCCGTATAAAGCTGAGCTCTTAACCTCACCCACATTCTGAACTTTAGTGCTTCCATCAGGGAGCCACAACCAGTTCATCACATCGTAAATTGGCACCACATCACCATTTTCGTCAAATGACACTTGATCCCCAAATGGAGTGGAGAAATTTACCCTTTCCAAGTAATAAAGAAGCTGTTAAAAAGGGATTCATAAGAAATAAATTATTTTTAACAATCCAAACAGTGGCACCCTCTATTTGATAGCGAAATGGAATATTATACCTATTATACCTATACATATAAACGTAATAAAATCAAATTGTATAATAAAGAGGGCTCCTTAATATGCAATATCTTTAACAATTTCAAGAACTCTAATGATACATTACATGCATACTCGTTAAAGTGCTCTGATCTAAATATATTAAACATTTCTTTTACTCAGAAATATTGAAAACTCATTTAGCTGACTTCAGCTTTTTCATAATTAATTTAATCACCCTGCTTTCAGTCATACAGGGTGAATTTTGTTCTGAAAGTAATTACAGATCAAATAATTTACTCATAGATTGATATCTAATTAACATAGTGTGTAAATTCATATCACACCTGCCATGGCTGCAGTGATTGCAAAGTGGCACAGCTTTGCCTACTGAAAGGCCCTCTTCCTGGGTTGCACTGCAGCATGTCATCAAGGGAATATGCCAGGGCATAAACAGCTTTATACACATTATACTCAGGCCGGAGGTTGGAAATGTCCAAGATCTCAGTGTTCACATTTTCTAGATCTTCCTGTCCAGTGCATAGTGCACCTCCACCTTCCAGCCAGCCTGCTGGAGCTGGTGCAAATCTGCACTGAAATGTAAATTCCCAAAACTGATTCACCTGAAATATATTGTTGACAACTGTTTTTTCTTTTTTCTTTTCCATTTAAAAAAACATGGCATAATGAAATTCTTGTCAACATCACGGTAACATTTCAACTCCCACCATGCTATTTCCATTGTTATTGTTGTGATGTAGGTCAGGACGTATTTGTAATAGGAATTCCCTGAGCCCTGGTATTTCCCCTCGACGAATAGCAATGCCCAGTGTACCACCCAGGTATGGCATGAACTGAGGTGTTTGGAGCACACCAGCTGTTGCTGTCCAGCCTTCACTGGCCATCCACTGTAGACTTGTTACATTCTCCTTTACTACCTGTGCATTATATTTTACCAAATGCAAAAAGTGATGTAACTATCCCCTACTTTTGTGACATTAACATCCAACTTAGGTATTTGCTATAAATTGTTAGATGTTATAAATTGTTTCTTTACGTTTCTGTAGTCATTCATTTAAAGACATAATACATCTTTTACACAGTGTATAGATACAGATCTTTATAACAAGAAATAATCAAGTTTTCTTTTAAACTTCACCTCTTCCATAAGGTTTATCATGTGACTCTCATGTACAAAGGCAATGACCACACGAGCTGTTGATTTTTTCATCACATTCACAATCCTCCTGAGTTCATCTGTGTCTTTGTCCCAAGGTAAAACTTCAATGTAGTCTAGACACCCTTCACCAGACAAACTTAGCTCGAAATGTAAGGATCTGGCAGCGTGGCGTCCATAATCATCATCACTGATAAGCAGACCTGCCCAAGTCCAGCCAAAATGTTTTAGAATTTTAATTATAGCACGTACCTAAGTGAAAGCAACATGAGAAACATGAGAAAACATGAGAGCATAGATAATAAGAAAAAATTTAGTGGATTAGCTGCTCATCATCTACTGGCAATTGTAATAATTCTGCTGATTGATTTTCACCTGGAAAGCATCACTTGGAATCGTCCTAAAGAAGGATGGATATTTTCGATGGTCACTCAAACAAGAACATGTGGCAAAATAACTCACCTGTGAAAGATACAGACAATATATTTTAGAAATATTCAAAGTCTTTACTGCCTCCTTTAAACTGGGTATTGCGTACATTGGTCTTGTCATTAAATTTACAATTAAATCAATAACTGTCACTGAAAAAGGAAAATGTGGCAAAATAACTCACGTGTGAAAAACAAAGACTGTATATTGTACATTGTTCTTGTCATTAAATTTACAATTAAGTCAGTATATACAAACACTGAGAAATATCTAAAGTCATACAACAATAATATGGTATAGTTAAACTGATAACTTACTATCGGTACTCGGTATAAACCTAAGACACTGGAGATGGCAATAGAAGGTGTAGAGGAAGAATCACCCACAATCCCTAGAACAGGAAGATTTCCAGTACATGTACCATTTGATATAATCTGCTCCTCTTGACCGCCGGCTAATGATAATGCTCCACGGAATCCAATTCCAAGTTCAACACAGTTGTCATAAAGAGTGTATCCCAGAGTCACATTAGGTAACAGATTGGCATTTCTGTTGATTTCATCAATAGCAAATGCCATGGTTTGTGCCTGCCTAAATCCTTGTACATAGAAACTAACAAAATAAATTTAAATTAAAAAATATATCAGGAAAAATGTTGCAAAATCACTTGTACAAAAAATTAAGAAACCTGAATAATAATTTATGAGATATTTTATTTGAAAAATCAAGAAGATTCCCCATTCAATATACATGACTTATTTATGTATGCACTAATGCATAAAATGTATGCATTAGTATGCATTTTATGCATGCATACACGCATAAAATGTATGCATTTTATGCATTAACCCACATATTGGCATTAAGTTGTTCTGGGGTTTTTTTGTGCTATTTTCCTGTCATACTTACCCATGGCAAGTAGGCTGTTGTGGCTCTGAGGTAAAAGATGGATGAGGAACACTTGAGAAAAAGTGGACTGGAAACAGTCCACCCAGAATGATATCTCCAACCTTGTTCATTCCATTTAGATGAAATTTTCCCTGCAGCTGACACGAGGAGGGAAACAAAGAAGAGGATACAGTATAAGTGAAGTAGGAATACAATAAAATGACCAGGACTAAATTGGTTTGTAAAAATGAACACATGACAGCTTTCTGGTTTTCTGAGCCTAGTTGTGGCATTTTATTACTTTCCCATTCCCTTTTAATAGCATGCTGTGTTGACTATTCTTTTATAACGCCCATCAGGGAAAAAGATGAAGAAAGGGGTGGGCCTCAAATACATTTGGTCATATACTGTTGTTGTATCCAGGTAGGCTTAGGTAACACCGTGAGCATGTTGTGTGTGTGGAATGTTTTGTAGCACACACGAAACAAAAGAAACAGGTTTTTTTGTGCTCAAGACTAAGACACCAGATATTCTCATTCAAGCGCCTTCCCCCAGGCCTGGCTCCAGAGTGGGGCTCAGGCAGGGTAGACTGATCCCTTGATTCCTATCATAGGGGTCAACTGAATCAGTCTTAATCTGGCATCTCACCCAGGGCTAGGTTGCCTTGGGAAACCCTACCAGTAGGCAATAAAATAGCATAGCCCCTGAGTTCACAGGATCATACAAATCCCTCCATTGCAGCAAGCCGGTGATTTGCGGAGGGTTTTAGTTTTTATTTATTAATTTTTTTGAATGACACACTAAGTAAACTTCACTGTGCAAAGGTATTTGTTTCTATTTCCTGAGCCCATCTGATGGATGAGTTAGACCAGGGGTGTTAAGCGTAAGACTTGGTGGCCATAATCAACCTGGCAAAGATTCCAATCAGCCCACTGGTCAGGGTTGGAAAATATGTCGTCTATAAATGTATACATTTGTGGACTTTTAAAATATTTTTTTTTGGTTTTACAGCTTTTCCTACTCCCCGGAAGCCATCCATACTATACCAAAGTAATTAAGTAATAGATAGGTTTCTATAGGTTCCTGTTTGTATCTCTCTGATATAGAAATTTTGATTTAAAAAGACATCAATAAAGAAAACTGTTATGTGTCAAAAATACAGGACACTCTGGGCGTTAAGCTACCAGAACCTTCTCTGTAATTTTACACATTTATCAATGTAAAATGATTTTCACATCCCTGAGTTAGAGGCTAACAAGGCATGACAGGTGGGTGGTAAACAAGCAAGCAGTTAAGTTACATAGCACTTTCAGACAACTCCCAGCTGAAAAAAAAGTGCTGTACACTTGACATGACAAAAAATATGATACAATAACAAATTAAAAATACATAAATAAATAATATTAATTAAAATTAAATTAAAACAATAAAATCAAATTTTTTAATTAAATTTAAGCAGTAAAGTGAAGTGCCAATTGTCCGCTCTGCCACCCTCACCACCCGCTGCAGTTTCCTCGTCCTCCATAGTACAGCAGTAAACCAGAGTGTGCGGCAGTAGGTCAGTTCTCCCACTTAGAAATCATGGAGGGGTCTGAAATTCACATTATAGGTGCATTGCCACTGTGAGAGACAGCATTTAAAAAACAATTCAGGAAATCTCATTGTGTGAATCTCCTGATGAAGACAGAAGACAGACAGAGCAACACCGTGGACGAAGAAGAATTAACAGCAGGCAAAAAAGACAGTGCAACTGATGTAAAATACTGAAGGGTCAAGCAGCATGTATGAATACTATTGTGGATGGAACATGCACTTCAACAGTGACAAGAGTGTGAACGCACTGGACAGCACTGGACACTGAGTTTCATATTTGCCATGCTGGGAGTTAACCTCAAAGAAAAGACTGAAAAGATCAAGAGAGAAGGAATGGAGAGAAGAAACAGCTGATTTTGGCCTGTGTTTGATTTGGGAGGTCACACAGGAAACTGTGAGAACAGGGACGAGGACCAGTGAGAGGTGAACCTAGACGTAATACAGTGAAAGCATATGGGAAATTGGATTGAAGATTGAGACTGAACTCATGGAGGTTTAGAAATATCCAGAGCATAACAACAGAAAGGTAAAAAAAAAGAGAGAGAGAGAGAGAGAGATAAAGAAATAAATAAACTAACAATTGCATGAATGAATAGAAAAGACACATATACAAATTGTCACATGTAAAATTATTTTTGGAGAGAATCAGAAGTGAGACAGTTTGAATCCACAGCTCAGCACAAAGATGCATGAATTAAATCTGATTATAAAACAAATATGCAATGAAGATCAGTTTACACTCAATATTAATCTGAATACAAATACATACACGCAATAAAGAGACATGCTTACATTCATGAATGTGAATACATGACATAAATGCTAAATGGTGTAGATTTAACACACTTAAAGCTTGAAGTTCAGGAATAACTCAGGGAAGTTCCATGATAATACAGTCACTTTTGTGAAAAAGGAAAAAAGGATAAACCAGTGATTAAAAGCTTAAATTCGTTTTTATAATAGTGCCGATTGACCAAAAGAAGTGATTACTGTAGAAAGTAAAAATAATTCAATAATGTGGTAATGTTTAAACCCTTTAAAGCCGGTCGGAGCGGGCACGCTCCGTTTTGCGTAACTATTTTTAAATCCCGGTAGCACTGCTAAAAATTGGTGTATTTCAAAATAAAACTATGAAGACACTTAAAATAAATTTCCTGTGGTGGGAAACTATTTTGTGCAACTTTTTTGTATTTACAGTTTTGAGGGATAAGCCTCGTAAATTTCTCTAACAAGAAATATATGTCAAAAAAACAAAAACGATTTTCAATTTTTTTGTAGTTTATTGCACTTTTTTGCAATGTATGTAATTACTATGCACTTAATGCAGACATATTATTAAATTTTGGGCTATAATGGTTGTATTGATTTATATCAACTTGACATGCTCCCAAAAATGGCACTGCAACATGTAAAAATATAATATAAGCTCTGGCGGACTTGGTTCTATGGTAGGTCTTAAAGGGTTAAATATGCATTTCTCTTGTCAAGGCAACTTTTTCTGAGATGAGTCAGTATGCAAATTAGCTGAATCAGTGGTGACAAAGAAGCTTCCTATCTGGCAGTGTGTCTGAGGCTTCCACTGAAGGAAACATAGCTGTGACTGAGAAGAATTGCTTGGTAAAATATATAATGGTAAAATACAGGATAAGTAAATAAAGTGGTCAGGTCTGTCCAGTAGTCCAGATTTGGAATAGAAATCTAGAATTTAGTGATGATAGATCGTTATAAAGTGTTTAGAAAGTGCGTAATGGGAATATTAAGGTTGTGCAAAACTGTGTGGCTTTTAACAAGATTTTCTGTGTATTTAGCAGGTGAAATTATGTCAGTTGACCTCAGACTGTGAGGACGCTGGAGCACCTGAGGCCAACCACTGAAATATGATGTGGGGAAAATGAACAGAGGGAGTGATTTTTAAGTCTGATTTCAGACCATGTAAGTATTACTTAAGCCAAGAGTAGGGCAAAACTTTTGTGGCCCACAAAGTTCTAATTCCCACAACATATTGTTAGATTAGCAAGCAAAACTTTTCTGGGATTAAGATTTTTGGGGTTGTTATTTTAGTGATGGGTTAATTCTGTCAGTTAGGTTTGGGTTGTTTTCTTATTTTAATAGAGGGAGTTTTACTAGTCATGGACATGTCTGTAACTGGGCCCATTATTTTTGTAACAGTGCACTTAGAGAAAACCTGTCAGGTGACGATGTTTTGTGCTTAGGTGAGCTAATAATCAACTCTCTTTTTCTGATTTTTGTTCTAAGCAGGCCTGCAAGATTGAATTAACAGCGCTGTAAAATTTTCAGGAGAACAAATATAAGGTGAGCTTTTCCAGATTATAATGGGCTGAGGAAAAGCCTAACTGTGGGAACCGATCACCGTTTGAGTTCCCGTCCAAAAGGATTGTAGCAAGTCAATCCAGTTAAAACATAATAAATAACTATTTTTCTAAAAACAAAAACAAAACAAAATAAAACAAAATTAATGAGCTCATGTTGCTGAGAGTGGAGAATCTGATTATTTGCACGGGAGTCTCCACTATCAGCAATATCTTGTGTGTGAGTGTATGTGTGACTGAATTGTGATGGATTGACGAAGTGGACTGAAGTTTTGACTGACATGATACTCAGACAAAGACTGGACCAAGGTTACGATGAGTAAAGGTTGACAAACAGTTCACCACGCCGGTAAGAGAAGGGTGAATGCTTTGTTTTGCTATGTTTTGCTTTGCCATGAGCAGGAGAAGAGAGACCAGAGGAGAAGAGAGACCAGAGGGGAAGAGTGTAGTTTCACATGAGTGTGGAGCTGGAGACTTAACCCTGGGGTTGCTAATTTTGGGTTGCTGATGTTTGCTTTAAGAAAATTCGGTTTTATTGACTGGATTTAGATTATGGTATTACATTATGTTGTTGGGAAAATGCCAAATGCTAAAGGTGGCCCAAAGTGGCTCCTCCACTGCTTCCCCACTGTCAGGTTACACCGGCGGGGGTGGCGGCGGCGATGCTGACCAGGCTTGAAGCAGTATCGCCAGGTTTGCCATTCTCTCCAGGTGACGCTCGGTCTGGACCCGCAGCTCTTCCCGCTGGCGGCACACCTCCGTGGGCCGCCATCTAGGCCACTCTCTGGGCCAGCTCCTCCCTCTGGCTCAGTTGTAGGTGCGTCCAGACGGCACCGCCGACCACGCCTCACCACAAACATCAAACAGACTAGCTGAGTGACTGAATGGCTGGCTGGCTGAACAGAAAACACAGACACAGAATTAACGATGACAAGACAGACTTAAATACACTGACTGATGATGATTAGAGAGTCCTGAGTCCAGAGTCCCAAAAGAAATAGTTCTGGCAGGTGACCGTGTGGCCAGTGGCTGGGCCAAATCAGTTCTGTTGGGCAACCGCGTGGCCAGCAACTGAGGTGAAACAGGTCAGGAGGGCAGTGGTGTGGGAGCCGCCGGCAGTGGAGCTGCAAACGACGCAAGGCCAGAAGGTGCGGAAACTTCTGGCTGAGACGAGGCAGGGCCAGCAGGTGGGGAAACCTCTGGCTGAGACGAGTCAGGGCCAGCAGGTGTGGAAACTTCTGCCTGGGACGAGGAAGAGCTCA